GTACGGAAAAAATCCGTCTACTTTTAATACAAGATATATGTTATTGTTAAATTTAAGCGTTAATATTAATAATACCAAATATTGTGTAAATATAATACATAGTAAACAATTACATCTTGTTAAGAGTAGAAAGTATTTTTTATCGGTGTAAAACTACAGAAGACCAATAAAAATGACTAAAACACTATTTAAAATTTTATACTTACTTCAGTAATTTAATTCTGTAATTTTGAACGAAAGATAACTTACCAATTTATTGTATTTAAATATTTGTATACAAAATATTGATGGTAAAATACTATTGTAGGTAAACAAATTTTAAAATATACAAATGCACACAGCAAAAAAAATAGAATTTAATTATAATAACGTTTCTTTTGCAATATTGATAATGATCAAAATTATTATTTTTTAAATGCTATAAAACTAATAAATAATACGTAAATATAGTATTATGAATACAAAACTACTAATTATTATTTTTAACTAACAAAAAACCAGCTAATAAATAAAAAAATACCTACATAAGTAATAAATAATAGTATTAAGAAGTGAAATGTAAAACATAGTAACTTGATAAATTATTGTTAATAATATACCTCCATGTATTCCGTCCACGTTACATCAGTTCTGCATCATTTTTTACAAATGGATAAATGTTTAATTGGAGATTTTCCAACTCTTTTTTACTCTTCCTAAATAGTTTATCAGCACGATTATATACGGTAAACTTGGTAATGTATAGAAAACAATTTTTTTTTTAATTTAACTATTATGTAATAATAATAAAATACAATAAATATTATAATGTATTTTATTTGATAGACAAACTGTTTTGTAAGCACATTCATTTTTATTAATACCGAGTACAATAATTTATAGTACAAACTGTTGAAATGGTGAAATTTCTGAAAACTATAATATTAATTATAAACATAGGTAACTGTTTGTGAGAATTCATCGACATAAAAATGTAAGTCGAGAAAAACAGACCGTTGCTAAAAACTATACCGGGTGAGGTTAACTTCTCCCCAATTCCCTCACCCGTCTAGTTGCGCCTATCATATTAATTTTACATTGGATTAGTATGCAAAATTAAACAAAACAATATAAAACACTTAATGTAGTTAATTTGAATAATAATCATTTTGCGCGGCCATTGGTAACATCAACAATTGCTGACGATAGTATTTTATCCGTGAACCAATAGTTACACAACACTAACAAAACAAATGGTTCCTTCTACAGTCCTATCGTAGTTCAACTCGCTTATACGTATAATATGTCACCGCAATACATATATAGGTACATGATATTATTATGTTTGCAGTGTGGCATTCATTGTGATATAGAATTTGGATCGAAAGAAAAACAACTCGATCTCTGAACATTTCTTACTTGTTATATAAAAGAGTTATTTGAACAATTTAGTATAAAATCAAGGGATCGGGGATAGCTGGGTTGGAGCGGTCATGGGTTCTAAAAAATAGTTTCGATACAAAGTCTGTGGAAACATATAAATTTTAATTTTGTTTTCTAGCCTGTTCCACTTTTTTAACATTATATAATTGCCTTTATTATTTGAAACGGTATTACAATTTAAAATATATGTATTTTACCAGTTAAAAAAATTGAAATATTTTGAACAAGAATTTTAAATACTTGCTATACAGTTCAAAATACATGTTTGGATTACAGTTACCTCGCATTTGCTCGTCGACACTTAGATTTCTTTTAACTTCTAGAGAATTACACCTGTTCACAATACGATTGTATAAAGGTTGAACTTTTTGAAATTTGTCAGTACAATTTTGATGTACACAATCATTGTTAATTACATAAAAATTGGATCTTAATTCAATAAATCTGTTTTTCCACATGTGATCGGCTATTATATTTATCCTAGACTTTTGTTGCCAGTACATACTACATTCGTGGTAAACCGTAAACTCCCATTAGTAGATGTATTCCAACAAAAGTTTTTATTTCATTGGAATTGGTTTCTTCGTAATTTTTTACCCCATTTCGTTGGGCATAAATATTAGTAAAACCCGCCATATGTATAAAATCATCTTCCGAAAAGTATTTCAACAAATATTTTAATGGTATTGGCAATTTATCGGGTACAGAACGTTCTTTTAAATTTTTAAGACAGATTTCTGATCTTTGGAATGGTTTGTTGCATCATTTTATTTCTTTTATAGATACGCCTGGTAATAAATTTGGTAAATTCGGTAAAATTTTAGGAGGATTATGTAATTCAGATAAATTAAACTCAACGTTGACTTCATTTTGATTATCTTGAGCATTTAAGTTTACATTATTTTCTAAAGGCTCGCCTTTTTCGTTTATATCTTCAAGTAAATCAAAACGAAAATCGTCATGAATGTTATATGTTTTCAGTAAGTTTTCAAATTCGTTTTCTGGTACCAATTCAGATTCATCATCGTCTGAAAGATCAGAAAATTCTGAATTTGTACCATCATTGAGTAAAGTTATTATATCACTTTTAGGTAAAAACTTTCTGGCCATAGTTTCTAAAAAGAACAAAATAAATAGTTACGTTTTAGGTGTTAAAAAATACATTCCAACAATTTATGTAACCATTTTTAAATGCATACCTTTAGTTGAATAAAGTTTTTATTAATTTTTTATAAAAACACAAACAAAGCAATATTATATTTCATTACATAATAATATAGGTATTACAGAAGTACAACAAAACGATACCGTTGGTTCCCGACCGACTTGTAGAAGGATTTTAAGTTATCGTGCAAAAAGCCGGTAAAACAGATGATATCAGTTGGTAACACTAATCTGCCGGCCCAAAAACATTTTGTTAACACAAAAAATCCTAGAATTTTATTACCATATTTAAAGGTATTAGGATCGAAAACAAAGATGTTGTAAATTTGTGAAAATACGGAAAACATATGATGCTAAACAAACCGGACTGATATTGGTTATCAATATAGCTGTGTCGATTTTTTTGTCATTAATCTATACAAGAACTTGTGTTTAAAAATATTTTTGATAATGATAATACGTTGTTAATATTTTTTTTGATTTTTTAAAGTTAAATCCTTGAACGAGGATATCAGTAACGAAAGGGTTAAACAAATGTTAAATGACACTATTTTAACAACACTAAAAATGAATTCAACTAACTTACCAAGAAGTAATTAATTTCTAGTTCTTATAACTTAGCGAATTGTGTGGGTTATTTGCATAGTAATTTTAATATAGGTATTTAATAATTCTTAACAAATATAAAGTCTCGTAAAATTCAAAATAATTCAAGTTCAAAAATATTTAAATTTCCAGTTTTTGCAATTTAATTAAAAAATCGTCTCATTCAATTTCGACTTTTCAAGAATTTCTTCAGAAAACATATTTACTTTAGATACATGAGATACATCATACAGTGTAGCATTTTTAATAAAACGTCTCTCACCCTAGACCTTAGTAAATAGTCAATTTTTGCGGAGGACAGAAAATGTAGTTTAATTTCATCCATAATCTTATATTTCAGTCGAATTGAGTTAGCAACAGTGCTTTATCCGCGGGGAATCGAATGATGGGCTCGGATTAACGGTAAAGCTAATATATAACTTACTAATTGAAAATTTGATAACATGGTAATAAATAATAATATTGCAGCATATAAATTGAAACTGGAATTTTTTCTCACCCGTAGTTGATAAACCTGAGATATTCAAAACATTATTTTATAATGAGATACCTATTATACCAGCGGCTTCATCCCCTCATGAGATTTTTTTTTTGGATTGTGCTGTTTTTATTTGGTATTTAAGACCTATTAGCCTGACAAAATTACGCCTACTTACGATAGTCCGATCTCAATTCTGTAAAAAAAATTCAAGTTCTTTGGCTACTTTACTATATTATGTAAAAAGCAGATTTTCATTTAAAAAAGTCAGTTTGTTGATCAGTTTTCAATATTAAAAACATTTATTTTACATAAAAAAGCAAAAATGGAAAAATCTATTTCCTAAATAGGTAATCTAGTAATATAGCCAAAGAACTCGTATCTGTGCACAATTGAAATCGGAACATTCTAAGTAGTTGACATTTTGTCAGGCATTTTGGTACAGAAAGTCATAAAAACAGACCGCTTTCAATCCCACTACAGTACCTATATTATTCTCCGAACAATGTGGGAAATTTGATACTTTTTTTTGTGCTATTTTTTTAATTTTTGTATTTTATCCTTCAATTCGCAACGAATTTCGTAAGTACATGCAATTCGTTTTTTTTTTATTTATTATATTTTAATTGTTTCAACATAATCTTGTTTTTACAATATATTAATTAATAAGTTACATAATTAGGTAGGCATAATAGAGTAATAAAATAATTTATAATTATTTGAATTTAGCAAATTGTACATAAATTATGAGTTGTTTTAAATTAGGTCATTAATCTGATGATACCGACGATGAAGATGACGATGATGATTCTGGAGGTAGTAAGATATCTTGTGGGAGACGTGGCTTTAGTCGGCGGTTTTTGGTTCTTTTCCCAATGTTGAAGTGAAGGGCTCCTTCTATTGTGTTTAGTTTCGAATGAAATGTTTGAAATTGTTCATTCATCCACGTGGTTAGGTATGGTGTTCCAGTGTCGTTGTGGAGTTGCGCGTTTCGCATATACCATGGGGCTTTAAGAGCTGTTCTGAGAAATTTGTTTTGTATCGTTTGTAATTTTTGTTCGGGATGCGGCTGCCCACATTGGGCATGCATAAGTCACATGCGATTAGTGTTCGACGGGGTTAAACGGAGAACTCGTCGAACGGGAAGATCGACGATAAGACAGACGATCGGTGTAAGAATGATTTTTTTTTCCCTCTCGCTCGGTCTAGATGAACGGCACGTGCGTTGTCGTTGCCGGTTATCCGCCAGGTTACGCTACGGTCTGGTCTCGTCGTCTGCGTGTGTGTGTGTGTGTTTATTTGCTGTGCGCGTGGTTTCGGAGAACGAAACCGGGTGACCGGCTCAGTCGTCTCTATCTGGTTCACTGTATCACGTTGTCAGTGTGTTAGCAGTGCCGGTCTGCTCGAAAAGATCGCGACCGTATTTCGATATTGTTTATTTTCAATACTCGCCGCTGCTAATCTCGGCGCATCAGCCGCAGTTGAAAAATATTATCGACGTTCAAACATATAATAATAACAATACTTAAAAAATACTCTGTCGTCGGCCGAATTGAATTCGCGCTCTCCCCGGCCCTCGTTTTGTTCTCGCGCCGGCAACGACGACCGCGTTTAATAAATTGCGCGCAATCGTTTCGGTCGCATCGTTCGCTCGCACACCAATCACACCGTCAACACCCATCGTCGACCGGCGTTTCCGATGGTGGAGGGTCTCGTTTGATGAATTAATCGAACGCCGAGCGAATGGTGTGTGTTCGTACAGCGACGGAGTGACGGCCGAAATCTCGCCGTGAAGACAGCGAAAACGCGCGAGCACCACGACGACCGCAACACGACGTCGACGACCGTTGCCGCCGTCGCCAGCACGATGATCATATCCAAGGATCTGTTCTTGTTGGGCGATCAAGACTACCTGCGTCTGCCCAAAGACGACAAGAGGTCCAGGAACACGAACAAAACGCTCAGGTCGGTGTTGTTTAGCCGTATTGGCGGTAGGGTTTTTTAAAAGAAAAAATATCCAATTCCCCGCCCGCCCCCCACCTTACCGCGCGTGTTAGGTTTTATTTTTGGAAACGAAACGCCACAAGAAAAACCCCAGAAACGTCTTATCACAGACCGCCGCGCGTCCGTCGGCGTGACCGCTAGGTGGCGAACAATTATTGTTGTACCACCCAAATGGGTAATATGAAATTTTTTTTTTTTTTTTTTAATCACGCATTGTCGTTCGGTTTTGCCGACTATAACAAGCAAAATACCCGTTAATAACAATAATACTAATAATACCGTACAGAGCGACCAATTGAAGCCCCTGCCGCCGCCGGCAGGCATTAGTTTATACTCTATTGCATTGGCACCGAAAAGCCGACAGTGCATAACGGCCATGACTTCGTAAACAGGCATGATTGCCGAATAAGACCGCGCAGGAAAATTGCCCCGAGAAAAATAATTATTTTACTGTATTAATTTCTCATTATAAATTACAACATCTTCCATGACTGGGACAAAACGGGTGCAAAGATAGGACAATTTGGTGATCCCGCCATCATGCCTGTTTATTTAGCCATAGTAACAACAACAGATGTGGGGAAAAAATGTTTGGACTACCAAGTCGTCTGGTCGCGGGCAAGGCCAAACAGTGAAAGAGGAAAACTGTTGGCGTTAACGTAAAAATCGTGATTAAATATAGGAATTGGGAACAACCGTCACGATTTGTGCGTTATAATTTATACTACATTGTAGTATGGCTGTGGAGATCTAAAGAAAATTAAACTAGCAAGTAATAACGCGGTCGTTTCCATTTCTAAACGCAAACGCGTTAATAATTGCAGGATAGAAATTACTGATAGTCGATAATTATAGTAGTAGTAGTAGTAGTAGTACTAGTAGTAACAGTAGGTGGTAAAATGATCCGACCCAAATTTCGTTGTTGATTTGCAGACGGGTGCCCCGGTAACGGCGTACATAGTATCGCGCGTCCCTCCCCTGAGGCCCAGACAGGTTTGTTCTCGGCCGAGGGGTAGTTTGAAGTACAGAATCCGCGGGTCAATAACCTTCTCCTCTGCCGCCTTCTCCCCTTGTCTGCGTATTTCGCCATCGTGTGCCCACTCAAGGACAATATTATTGTGCATAGGTATTATTATTTGGTTTTATATTATACCTACTCGAGTTGTCTCGTTTCTCCCGAGGTCTCGAGTCTAGCCACCAAAAAAAAAAAAACTATAATGACGTAATAAAAACACTAAAATAATGATGATGATAATACACGTTAATAATTCTCGTGGCTGGTCACATTTTAAAATTACATATATTAAGTCGATCTCGAGTGGAACGATTATCCGCTATACAAGCTTATTTAGGATTTGAAGAACGCCCATGTGGGGAGGTTCTTAACACAGGCGGGGAGCTCTTTTCTTATTAATCGGTTCGTGTAAACTGCGCGGTGTTTATTATCAAAACTGGAAACTAAAATTTCGGAATATTTTTTTTTATTCAATCGTATAGTTTTCTGACACATCGGCTCTCTGTCAAACAACAACTGTAATTTTCAAAACGTTTACTATTTTATGTACTGTAGATTATCAGAAGACTCAAGGTAAGAGTTATTATAACGTAGTGAACCTGGGCAGTCGGCTATAACTACCGTCAACAACACCAGACTGTGTGTGCGTGTGTGCATACGAACGGTTGTGGTAAAGCGCGAAAAATAATATATTATCGGATTACGATAATGTTGTACTGGAGGTGCTACATTAACGTGATAAATGATAATGCAATTTACAGTAAACGGCCGGACGTGCGTTCGAAATGGCACCTTCGGTTACCGCATTATTATAATACGTGTTTTTTGAATAACATTCAAGGTGTCGTTGTCCAGGTCCTTGGATCGTACATTTCATATAATGACGCTAATGTAACATTATGTGTATAATATAATATATTTATAAACTATAGACACTATTTAGTCATACCGGTACACCCGCAGCTTCGACCTTCGTAACGAACGGTAGTCGATTGGCGCCCAAATATTCAGAGACTGATCCGAAAAGCGGGAAACGGCAACCGTACGTTAATTTTAAATCGGAAAAATGATAATACAATGTATATAATAATAATATAGTACATAATACAATGTATTATGTACGTTACTCAATCAAAATTGATCAATTTTAAGTTTGTCATACGGTAATAAAACGTCAATAAACGGTATTTAACCTCAAACGTTTTAATATTAAAGTTAATGTTTAATAATATATTTGTTAACGGTAGATGCAATTGTGGTTTATCCGTGATCGGGTACTGATTATACCGAAAATTTACCATAGTGACGTCGTGTGCGTTTTCTCGTCTCCTAATTGTCGGTCGGTGCATCTACACCGAATGAACCCCTGAACCCCTAACCAACTAGTGCATTGAGTGCACATTACGGGAGTATTATTCGGCGATTATGGAAAACATTTATTTCTATGACTAGTACACGCCTCTTGTTCGTTATGCAAATCGTTTACTTCCGAGACGACTTTTCCCTTTCGTTGGGCGGCGCGGGAAAACTGTAAAAAATAAATGTGTTAATCAATTCTACGGTTGGTTTTTTTGTGCTTGTCGCTTGTTTCACTTTTTTTAATGCGTTCGTTTATTACATTGTAGTGCCTACTTTTCATGTTTTTACCTTCCACCGCCGCTTTTCCTTCCTTCGGTAAGTATGATTATTTTCGCTCAAACAAACAACAACAGTTTTGGAGTATGCTACAATAACGAAGACGTCGTATTTGAGCGGCGTCCATCGCACGTATCGGGTTAAACGGCCATGACAATGGCAAATTTAAGTTGCCATAATGTAATATAGTATACATTTCATATTTTAACATATATTTTATTTTTCCTCTCACGTCCAGCACCTTTTCGCATGACCAATCCGTCGGTCGTAAAACGCGGAAATTGAAACATTTTTTCGACGATAATAATAATTATTGGCGGTGTTCTTCGAAAAACAGTTTGCTACAATACGTCTCGTCGACGGCGAGCCCAACCCGTTTTGCAAGTTCTAGGAAATTTCAAAATTACTTTTGGTTTTCCTTACCTACCCCCCTTCCATTTAGACGTACATCAAGTGCGACGTGTGACCTCACGTGAGGTCACATACGCCGTGTATAGAAGGCTAAAGTAAAATATGAATACTGTTAACTTGACCTTGCACCTAGCACGCGAATTTAACGAATTTTTAATTCGTCCGCCCGGTCGTCAAACACACACACACACTTAAAAAATTGAAATGCAAAATAAAAAAATTAAAAGGTTAACGTATATATATATATATATCTTGTTATTTACAACAAAACCTCTATAATATATACAGTCAAGTTACGATGACGAAAAGGGGGTTCGGGTATAATAAACAAGTTCTAATGAAACAAATTGCTACACGCGTGTGACGCCATAGGTTTTTATGAAATCGCTTTGTAGTGTTAATAAGTCGTGATAACAAAACTGTTGACGGATCCTGCATACGAAAAAAAATCTACATTAAGGATTTAATACTTAACGCTTTTTATTATTATTATTATTATATATATAATAACATAATGTCAATAATGTTTATCAATAATATTATTATTTTAAATTATTATAACATAATAATATAATGTCAATAATGTTTATCAATGAATATATATATATATTTAATTCGAATTTAAACGAGTCGTTATTGTACTTGTTTTATTGAATCATAATAAGTATAAAGTAAAAAAAATAAAATAATTTAATCTATGACATTTGTTTTCCCAACATTAATAATTATACTGTTTCGAAATTATGACATTTTTATCGTCCAATAAAACACTAGTCCCGGAAAGAACAATTGATTTTGACTTATTTTAGAAATGTAAATCGATTACATTTATTAGAAAAACGATTTTTTTCTACAAATATATATATATTTTTTACTTTTAGCTGTTAAGTTAAAATTTTGGTTCGAACTTAATCCGGATCACTCGTTATTAAGATTTAACACGGTCATTTTACATCGGTTGTTTGAATGTTTAACAACACGCTTGCTTAACAGGCCGTGAGTGAATATATGTTATATTTGAACTATAAATTTACTAGTGAATTGAAGCTGGTAATGGTAAATCGTCCGCTCATCGTCAACCTATTCATCTCGTTTATCTTCTAAGTTTAAGTTGTTGTCGCGGAAAAAAAAAGTGAGAGTATAATTACTTTTTAACAAGAGTAAACCCAATAGGATTAATTCGTGTACATGTTTCAGGGTTACGTTAGTCCGTATAAAGATGAGGAAAATAATCTGGTCGCTTTAAAAAAAAAAATTCTTATTAATTATACTCGTGAGAGGTTAGATAGTCTTGACAGCTGATCGGGAACCGGTTACCGACGGCTGTTTCTCGTCTCTAAACGGTCTTTTAATTATTATGTACATTATAAAATTATTATTTTTAGTTATTACTGCATTTTGTAAGTAGAAGCCTGCAGAGATGAAGTATTGCAATCCGTCTTAACGATCCCCGTTTAATTCGTTGACACCGCCTGTTAATTTTTTTTTGTTTTGGTTTTGGCACAACATTTCGCTGAACTAATTTTTGTTCAGAAAATATTGTCTGCAGTGGTGGGTTGGTAAAAAAAATTGGCAGTAATAAATAATCGTATTAACAACAATTTATTGTAGTAGATCCAACACTATATTATATAATTTTACGTGTAGGTTTAAACGAACACGACTACTTAAAAACATAGTACATTGTCCGCACAAGTTCTAATATAATAATCAGTATGTTTATTTAATATCGCGTTTACAACAGATTGTTTTAAAGTGCTATTTGAGCCGCCTTTAAAAAAAGTATCTTGAATATTCACACATTGCGCGTTGTAAGAGGAAAAAAATTATCTATTCTTTTGTTTCTGTTGTAATTTTTTAACTCATGTTTTATATTCATTACACGGCATAGCCTGTTCGA